CAAAACTTGAAAAATATCCCTCTAAGGTACATTTAGAACAGATAAAAAATGTGCGATTAATTTGCGATTAATCGCGATTAACTATGGACAATCATGGGATTAATCGCGATTAAATATTTTAATCGACTGACAGCCCTAATTTACATATCTTATTAAATCATCTAAATACTACTACTACTACTTTGCCTCAATAAAGACAACCGTTAATCACAGAGAAAATAACAAATCCAAATAAACGAATGAGAGCAGACAGACGTCAGTGTCCTGATGCGTTCAAGTTAATACTTTAATAGGAATTACCCCCTTTCTCCTGAAGGGAGACTTTTGGGCGTGTTAGCACCTGTGAGACACCGTAAAATAAATGATGGGTCTCACCTGCTGCATGTCGTCTCTGGCGAGCATCTTCAGGACCTGGCACTGATCGGGGTCCGCAGGGTTAGTGTTAGCAACAGCTAGCAGCAGCAGCAGCAGCAGCGCTCCCTTTAAGACTTTCATCCTGAGACTCAAATCAAAAAATCAAATGCACCTTCTGGTATCTGTGAAGACACTGATCCATGAGACGGCTGAACGGTTTATATGCCGAGCTCCAGAGACCCCGAGAGACCCCGAGAGCCCAAGCCGGTTCAAAGTCTGTGTGCTCAGAGTGTTATTGAACTGTGATCCAACTCCAACTGGCCCACTTCATTAATGTTTAAAAAGATTAAAAACACAGCGAGAGAGAACAGACAAACACTGAAGCTATTACAACACATCTTAATAACGTTTAGTTCTTTATTTGTGTATTAAAGGGGACCTATCATGCAAAATGCACTTTTGTACGTCTTTTATACATGAATATGTGTCCCCGGTGTTCCAGGGAACTCACCAAGTGTCAGAAAACACAACCCTCTCTCTTTTCCTCCATACCCAAATCTCTAAAAATGGGGCTGCAACGGATCTGATACAGACTGATCCAGATTTGAACATTTCTCTGACGTCAGGATGGAGGAGCTGACCTATCAGGGGAATGAGAGGTTGCCGTGGCATGGTAACAGCATGGTAACACGACGCTCGTAACTCGGCCCCCTCCTTTGCAGGGGGCGTGGTCAGCTGCAGCGCATGCAAAGACAGGGTGGAGGAGAGCAAAATAGAGCGAAATGAGGCATGGCTAAAATGCATGATCTGTTTGGTATTTTGAAAAAGAAAACGTATAAATATACCTTATATAGGTATGGCCCTACAATATATTATTCAAATATAGCATGATAGGTCCACTTTAAATATTCTGGTAACACTTTATATTAAGGTACACAAATTAACCATCAACTAGTTGTTAATTAACATGCATATTAGCAGTATGTTGGCCAGACCCGGCGTCATGGGCGGGCCCCATGAGGCCGGGCCCGCCCATCCAGGATTTGGGCCCGCTGTTTTAATCAGGGCAATACAACATTTTAATTGTTTTATTATTATGTTTATTGTTGTTATTTGTAGGGCTTTGTCCTAATATTTATTTTTGTTTTAAACTATGTTGAAAGATTAGTTTAATATCATTTTTGTATTTTGCTATGAAATTCTGAATGAAATTCTGAATGAAAGGCTGCGCGCGAGACTGGTTTTTCGCTGGGTTGAGTCGTGTGGGTTTTTGAGTGAGATGCGGCACAGCAGCCTGTCAGTTTACTCTTGCTAGGTTAGTTTGGCTATTATCATTTATATTTATCTGCAACAATGGATATCAGGAAGTGGTTCATGAAAGGAATATGGCAACTCAGCGCCAGATGCAGCCACATTAGAAGAAATCAGTTATGTTACCAACGAGCTAGCAAGCCAGCCAGGGACAAGGGAGGCTGGCAATCAATTATATTTTGAAGAGAAATTGACTCTCAAGCCGGCTCTCTCACAAACTCCTGCTCTGTGCGCAAGCAGACCGCTGCACACGCTCTCTGCCTGCCTCGCTCAATCTCTCTCTCTCCATCGCTCAACCTCACTCCACCTCTCCACCCTGTGTGCGCTCCTCAAGTTTGCCTGTGCTTGCCCAAGTTGGCACAGCGTTACAAATGTGCCACACAACCAACCAATGGATGTAGCCTATAATAAGACCGTCAACAGCCTTATGGCAACCTAAAACCCCTCTGTTTCCGTAACAACAATTCACGAGCGCCTCCCTCACCCTGCCCCCCCCCCCCCCCCCCCTTGACAAATCTCGAGCGTCTAACAGCCCTCCCCCGAAACTTGGGGTGGACCCGCCCTGGTAAATCAAATGCCCGCCCAGAGACGTATGCCTGCCGCCGGGTCTGATGTTGGCTCTTTATTAGTCATTATAAAACACTTATTAATGCCTTATTCTACATTACCATATTCTACAAGTAATAAGCCATTAGTTGAGAGTTTTTCCTCAATAACCCTCTAATTAGTGCTTATTTATTGCAAGTAAGAAAGTTGTTGTACATGAGTTTTGGTCTTAATATGCTCTGCTCAATATGGGCCTAATAAGGCAGTAGTACCACAAGAATAGTAATTCTCCCATAATAACACTTAACAAATATGATCTATTCTTAGGTAACAAGACATGAAACTATAAGTGTTAATTGTGTCTAAATAACTCAAAATTAAGTATTTATATCTAAGAATATGTTTTGGGGTATTGACAGTTCAACTACCAATAGCAAGGTGATATTGACCTGTATGTTTCATATTTGCACATTTATATTTTTGTGAAATTTGTACTGAAGGTTATACAGGAAACCGGGTACAGGAAGTAGGAGAAAGTGAACTGAATAGCATGGCAGTAGACATCCATGAGTAGACTGCTACTAATTTTCCCTTTGCAACCTGAAGAGTGAAAGGGTCAATGTATTTACCGACAGATGGAGCAGCTTATTTCAGACTCCAGCATACAGCTTCCTGCCTGCTACCTGCCGGCTACCTGCCTAAGACCTGCCAAAGACCAGTATCTGGGAATGTTAAGCCCTCCCACTATTTTCCAAGAGGGCGTTGCCAGATTTTCAATTTCAGGATTTAACCAGGAGATGGCGCTTCATTCACAAAAACAGGAAGACAACTTGTCATGGACTTTCAGTTTTGTTTAGAAGAGTATTTGAACACATCAATATTTTAGATCAAATAAAGTATATCTAATCTTGTAATTCAATAATATATAGTCTTTATATATTAAATAACTATGGCCAAACTAAGACTTAGTTTTTCAAAAGAGAAAATGCAGATATTATATAAAAAACTAAAGTTAAAATCTTGTTTTTAATGCCCCAAGAGCAATAAAAACACTTGGTAAAAAAATACAAGCTGTAAAAATAACATAATGATTAATTTCAGATGATAATACTTTTCAGTGTCTGTCTCATGCAGCAGCTGACCCGGCCGACAGTAAAAATAAACATTTATAACTAGTTTAGGTTGTTTGAGAGGTAATTAAAATAGCTAAGGGTGATGATCTGACTTGAAGTGTGTGTTTTGCTCCTAATTAAATGTTTTGATAAGTGCAAGCAGATCACAGTACAAGATGTGAAGTCAACAGGTATTCACTCAGAGGGGGGTAGCTACTATTTATTTTCAAATGCATATAGGCTCAGTCAAGAATTTGAATGGGATGGGGAGACGTGTGTGATTAAAAATGAGTGTCCAAACTATGGCCAAACTAAGACTTAGTTTTTCAAAAGAGAAAATGCAGATATTATATAAAAAACTAAAGTTAAAATCTTGTTTTTAATGCCCCAAGAGCAATAAAAACACTTGGTAAAAAAATCCTGAGTGAGGCTTTCATAAATTGTATTTAGCTGACGCTTTTATCCAAAGCGGCTTACTATTTAATAAATGATAAATGATTATTCATAACAAATATGACTGTGTGATTATTATTCATGCTATATACTGATATAGGGCTAAGTAAGCAATCAATCCTGCAAATTAACCCTTAGTTGTTCAATATATTTATTCAGACAATGTGAGTAGAAATACAGAAATTCTGCTCCCACCTAAGGCCAACGTTACAATATTACAACATTTCCCTAAAAACTTACCAAAACGTAAACATTTTTAAAACTCTTTCATTTCTGCTCCAGAGGCCATACATCTGAAAGGTCAAAAAAACAAACAGGGCTAGACAGCCATTTGTAGCATATGGGAGAATGGTGAAAAGAACCAACTGGACTGGGACCAATGGGAAAATGCCTCTTCCCCTCAATGTGAAGCAAAAGATTGAGTCCTATGTTTCCAATCGGTTCCCAAATGTGAACATTATTTTGTATTTTTATTAAATTTGACAATGTCAATTTCACTTTCCACTATGTACAGGTATCTTGGGTCAGTCTTGTCTTCCAAAAATCAGGAAGTAAAGTCAAGATGTGAACTCAACACGTAGTCACTCAGAGGGGGGTACTAATTATTTTCAAATGCATATAGGCAATGCTATCCATTTACATGTACTGTAGGCTCTTTCAGTCAAGAATTTGAATTTGAATGGGATGGGGAGACGCTCTGCCAACACTGACCCAATCTTCTGCTCCTTACAACACTGCCTGTGTTTTAACATGTTTTAACATGTTCTATTGTTTTGTTTTATTTGTTTTGTTTTAATGTTCTGTATTTTAAATTGTTTTATTTAAGTATCCCAGTAATGTACACTGTAAAAATAAATACAGGGGATTTTACAGTAAATTACTGGCAGCAAAGTTGCCAAGAAGTTACTGTATTTTTACTTTACAGTAGCGATCTTGTATTTTGTTTACAGTATCAAAATCAGTGCTGTATTTTTATATTACTGTATATTACTGTAATTTTGTATGTTGCTGTAATCTCAAAAACAATATTTTACTGTGATTATACAATACTGGTATTGTGAAATAACAATACATTACTGTTCTGTATACAGTATAATTTTACAGTAGTGTCTGCAATAAAACAGTATATTACTGCAGTTTTCTCTTTAACCAATTTTAGATCCTTGTCTCATTTGCAATAGGTGCTACCTGAAACGATAAACAAAAACTGGGATACAATTTAAATAAAATATGTTTATTGATTTCATTTCAATATTAAGTTCAATATGAAAAACATGGTAAAATAGGACAGTTCATAACAGATATAAATATAACAGTTCATAACTGATATAAATACAACAGTTTATGACAGATTAAAATACAACAGTTTATGACAGATTCAAATACAACAGACCAATTAAAATACAAAATCACAAGTAGTGAGGTCACAACATCAGATCACAACAGTACATCTTCTGTAATTATGTGAAAGTAAAAGGGTCCCCTGCAAGAGAAGGGGACAAAATGGAAAAGGCAGCATATCATTGAAAATGCTTTCTACTTCAAAACTGAAAAATTAAATACAATAGAGATCATACATGTATGAAGCACACATACAAAACATGTGGAATTAAAATACATGTTAGCTTTACATGTCAAAAGTAAAGTGTCAAACCAAATCCTTACCTAACATGATGAGCCTTGGTGTGCCTGGTAGGGTCAGTTGAGCCTCAATTTCATCATTGGTTGCAGTCCTACACACACACACACACACACACACACACAATAATATGTTCAAATTAATGTACAATACAATGTAATATTTGAAAGGCATAAATTATTACATTTTCATTGCACAAGATCATAATGTATAACTCCACTTACATCAGCCAAAAGGAAAAGAGCCTCTTCTTTTTCCTTGAAATGTGCCATCATGACCAGAATTGCAGAGAGATCTTGGTTGGAGGATTCCTCCTTGATTTGGGTGAGGACATTCTGAATCTCTGTCCTCCATTTGGTCCGCTGACTGTTGAAGCTGTTTAGCCATATAATACTGCTACTCAATCTCAAAATAAAATACGAACTTTTAGGGGAAAAAAAAGTGCAATAATAACGTTTATAAACCTAAATAATCCGTTAAAGGTCACAGCGGTTCTCTCCTCTTGCTCCTGATATTTTCACCCCGAAATATTGTACAGTAACAACAAAATTATACTGTAACATGACAGCACTATTTACAGTATTGCTGTAATATTAAAAGTATCATTTTTTAATTGCTGTATACATTTCCCGCCTAAGGATAATATTCCCACAATGCAGCAGCACTATGTACATAGTGCAGCAATACTGTAATGTTACTGTACATTGTACGGTAACATTACAGTATTGCTGTAATATTACAGTATGGTTTTAAAGTGCTGTATACATTTCCCGCCTAAGGATAATATTCCCACAATGCAGCATAATGTACAGTATCACACTGTATTACAAATTCAAAGTAAATGACTGTGGGTAATACAGCAATTTACTGCCTAGATTACAGATTTTGTTTACAGTGTATGTTGCATGTTTTAAATGTATTGTATTTACTTGTTTAAAATGAAATGTGTTTTAGATTGACTTTTAAAATCTAACTAACTACAGATGAAAAATAGCCTCTTGGCTAACTCTAACTATTCATATTCTTGACGGGAAGAGCAGTGTAAATAGTGGCCTATATGTATTTGAAAAGCAATATAAATCACACAGTTAGTATACAATAGGCATTAAAAGCATCATCAATAACCATTGCCCTTCTCCAATTCAAACCAAAAGAGAAAATGCAGATATTACACTCTGAAAAGAAAGGGTAGACATATCTGTACTCTTAGTGCCAAGTAGCTAAGCTATTCATTCGCAGAAATGTAAAGTGATCTAACTAAGTTCTATTACTTTAGACTGACAAAACTATTTTGTCGCCTTGACATTTCACAGACTAAACTGTTAATGTAGAAACATTTACAATATCAGTTAAGATCGATTAGATTACATCTGCCTTCCCCCTGTGTCCTAGGTGTTTGTGGACCAACTCACGAGCAAAGACATGGAGTTCATCGGAGACTCCATCTTCACCAGCATCGATAAGGAGATCATAGCTAAGATGGTTGAGTTCAGTAACAGGGTGAGTTCCTCTCTGTCTGCTGTCAGAAGATATGACCTGCGAGGCGAGCATCAGGCCAAGTTTTACAAGTGAGGTTTTCTTTCTGCATTTCAGCTGGTCCAGGAGGTGTGTGTGAAGCGGCGCTGGGGTCAGAAGGGAAGTCCCTGGGAGTTCTACCTGCGCGACTTGTTCCGCTGGTGTGAGCTGATGCAGGCCGACTAGTCTCCAGGGTTCTTCAACCCCGGTCAGCATGTAGCCCTGGTGTTTGCTGACAGGATGAGAGCGGAGGCTGACAAGGCTCAGGTACACTGCTGCTCCAACCTGCACCACAAACATAATCAGTACATTAATATAGGCAATTAGAAGTAGTTGAATTGGGTTTTCAAACAATCGTGTTTAATGAATTAGTGTCTGTTGTACTTGAGATACTTCCTTGTTTTCTTTTGTGTTTTGTTCCAGTTGTTTTTATACTTTTAATGTTGATACTGTTGCACTTGTGAAAACACTATGAAACAAAGATGATCTTTTATAAAAACCTATGATCGTTGTTTGGGACGTGTGTTGTCTTGCCATCTAAGTAGAGAGAGCAGGACATTTCAGACTCAGGCATAACAGAACCAGTCTTTTGGTTATCAAAGTGAAGGGTGCTGGCCAATTGAACTGACCATATCTGGTCCTGGTTTGAAGATCTGGGAAAAATACAACTACAGGTCCCTCAGAACAAGTTAGTCGGAAATGTATTTGGTTTGAACGTAATGGGTGGTAATCCTCAAAATATGGAGCTGTTTCAGAAAAGAGACTGCCTTCTGTCCTCCTCTTGGGAGTTTGTGTTTGTGAATTTTGCACGCTGAGGTTTAAAGGGGACCTATCATGCAAAATGCACTTTTTGATGTGTTTTATACATAAATATGTGCAGTTATGACATCAACCTCACTAATTATTCAACATCAGAACTAGTTATATTCTGTGGTTTTCCACAGCGCGCTCTGTGACAGCCTCATGAATCTTCACCTACCAGAAGGTGATTAAGTGTGGAATTTCCACCCCATCGTGTACAAGAAAGAAGCAAAAATCCCATAAGTGGACAAAACGGCATTGTTTCACTGAAATAGCGTCAAAATAACAAACTGCCACAAAAGTCACATTCTTAACGAAATCCAATCCAAAGTACTTTATTTTCTAGTTTTCATCTTTTATGCACAAAAGAGTATCTTTCAGTAACCTTCTGAGAGAATTAAGCATAAATCTGTCAAATGTTGAAAACAACATTGTTTGACTGGTATAGCGTCAAAATCACAAAGTGCCATTAAGAGTCACATTCTTAACGAAAATCGGCAGCACTTTACAATAAGACTACCCTTATAAAGGGTTTACGAATAGTTTGTAATTCATTTATTAATTAGGTTCTGAACACTTTATAAATCATTAATAAGCTTTTATAAGACATGAGATAAACAGGGCAAACGTGACCGGTTGCTTGCCAAATAGTGAGTCCACATTTATCTGTACGGCTAAGCCTTATATTGGCTACTTAGCTTACTTCGTCTTCTTCATCAGCCAGCATCCTTAGTATCTGTTGTTCACCGAGTTGATTCTCGCTAAGTAGCCAATATAAGGCTTAGTCATCTTGCCAAATAGTGAGCCTGTGTTGATGTTAGAACTGGTTTATAAATGGTTCTTAATGATTAATAAAGTGTTTACAACCTAATTCATAACCTAATTATATGTTAGAACTGGTTTATAAATGGTTCTTGATGATTAATAAAGTGTTTACAACCCAATTCATAACCTAATTATAAACCCTTTATGAATCCTTTATAAGGATAGTCTTATTGTAAAGTGGTACCCAAAAATCTACTAACACAAAGTACTTCATTTTCTAGTTTTAAGCTTTTATCCACAAAAGTGTATCTTTCAGTAACTTTTTGAGAGAATTAAGGATACATCTGTCAAATGTTCAAAACTGCATTGTCTCCCTGTAAGTCTTAAAAACACAAACTGCCATGAAAGAAAACCAATTCCTTACATAGTGCTAAGGAACACAATGTAACGTACAAAGTGCTTCATATTCTACCAGTTGAAAATTGTTGCATGTATTAGTGTATTTATGAGTGTCGTGTACAAGAAAGAAGCAAAAATCCCATAAGTGGACAAAACGGCTTTGTTTCACTGAAATAGCGTCAAAATCACAAAGTGCTATTAAGAGTCACATTATAAAATTATTTTGTTTATTTATCACTCTTGAAATATTCTTATTTCCCCTGAAGTCACCTCCATGACTTAATAAAGACAATTTGGCCAAACAACTTTCTGTGTTTGATTTTATTAGAGCCACTTTGCCAAATACAAGAAAATACACGGCGAACGGCAGAAATGTTCAGCAAAAACATTTGTTGCTCATCTTTGACCTCCCAAACAACGCCTCATAAGACAGCAACCACACGTTAATCATTAGTTTAGTTTGATCACTGACAGTAAAAGCACTTTTCATGGAGACAGGACAACACACTGACCTTGTGACAGAATCCACTGCGAAACCGTGATATAGCTGCAGTGTAAAATCCACTGAAAACAGAAACACCACTTTGCATAGATTCACTCGTTCATCTGCAATAACGCAAAAACACAAGACCTACACAAACAAAACTCTTTCTCCAGGTTCGCTCTCCTTCATATCAAGAATAGAGATCTGTCACAGCTGGAACACCATAAGAAACAATGTGAAACACAATACTATGTGTCATTATAAAGGGATAAATGATTTATTAAATCAAGTCTTTGTCTCATCTGTACAACAAAAACGGTACATTGTACTGTGTGGGATTCCTGTCTGGGACACACTCTTTCAGAAGTCACATGTTGGACTGGAAAGGTAGAAAATATCACGACACATCCAAACAAATCTTCACTCATCTTTTCCAGATGTCATCGTGTTTTCTACATTTGTGTCTTTGCCAGTTATCTTGAAGGAAGGAAGTCAGAGCACTACAGGTTAGTAACACACAACTTTAAAAAAAGGTACAACTAGTTCTGTACTGAATGCCGCTTTTTAATGCTTAAAAGAGCAACAAGGGCAATTACACTTTAAAATTATGCAACAATTTTTGCAATCCTAGCTCCACGTGGCTGAAATTATGTGCTCCACTGCTCTCCTCAGTGTGGTTCTCTCCTCCAGGACCTCAGAGCGGCTCCTCACGGTTTGGACACGGTCAGGTGCTGCATCTTCTTGGCCGCCTCCTCTGTCACGCTCTTGGCGGTTTTCTCCGGGCTGGGGGCCGGAGTGTTGGTCGCACTGTTGGGATACTCCCTGTTGCCGAATATAACGCTTCCCACCCGCACGTTGGTGGAGCCCACCTCGATCTTTAATGTAAAGGAGTACACGTTAGAGCAGGAAAGACCCCTAATGAGTGAGATAAGATAACTTAACGGCATTAATCACATTAACAATTAATCCAATAACAGCCATAACTATGGACTTCTCAAAGGCATCTGAACCAACAGACAAGACAACTAAAATCCAACACACAAATGAGAGATTATACATTTGAACATAACCACTATATGGCCATGAACAAATTACATTTGCCCTGCAATCAAATAAATCTGAACATAGCGTATTGTACGTGTTAAATCATCTATAGCCTGTACAGTTTCCATCTCAGAAATATGGCAAAGCTCAGGTCTGTTGTGTCATTAGCGGAGCTTGAAATGATCATTCATGCTTTTATATCATCCCGGCTGGATTACTGTACAGTAACTACATTTTCACGTGTCTCAGCAAGTCATCTCTCAACCATCTACAAATGGTCCAGAATGCTGCTTCAAGACTGTTAACCAGGTCAAGCAGGATGACACACATTACACCCATTTTAAAATCCTTACATTGGCTCCCCACTCGTTTTAGAATTTATTTTAAGGTCCTGGTTATTACATATAGAGCCCTGCGTGGAAATGCACCGGAATATATAAGTGACCTCCTCCATCCTTACACCGCCAGTACGTCACTTATGGCGCATTTCCACCGCAGGCCTCGCTCGACTTAGTACGGTTTTGTTAGGCCTTGTTAGGCCCGGCTCACTTTAATGCTGCGCTTCCATTACAGTTTAGGAACTGGGGTAGTATCTATAGTAACGCAGTGTAAGCGGAGCCGTGACGTCATCTTCAATGAGAACCCCAGAAAAACAACATCAGCCGTTAGCTGTTAGCACTCAAGCTCACAGCTCCTCATATCTGTTCAGAAACTACTAATGCATTTTTTGCATTAGTCTTTTTTGTTTTGAACTGTATGCATTCATTAAATACAAAGAGGATTAACACACACACATAAATGAAAAAGCAAACTGATTCAAATGTTCCTCCTATTTTTGTTAAATTTGATGGCCAATTTATTTATTTTTCATAAATTATAAATCCATAGTACTCCCACTTTGATAACAGCATGGATATTTGACTAAGAAAATGATAGGACCACCCCCCTCCCTCTCCACCATTTCTTCCATAAGGACAACATATCAAAAAATGTTAGGGTTTACAAATTCATAAAGAAATATGTAATGCACTTCTATAAATTAATCAAATTCACCTAGTCTGACTGAATAAATGTTTAAATACTGGGCACTAAAATACATCATTTGTGTTCGTCAATTTGTGACCCTGAAAATTAAAAAAAATTAAAAACGTACCTAAAGAAAGATTTGCTTTGATATTTGTGTTCTAAGTGCTGATGAGGAGCGATACTTACGGCGTGGTCGAAGTCTGTGGACATCCCCATGCTGAGCTCCACCCGCTCCAGAGGCATCTGCAGGCCGTCACACAGCTGCTGCCTGCGCCCCAGCAGCGTCTGCACCACACACACTCCTTAGTCTACTGCACAGTACCAGAGTCTGCATTCTTATTCCATCTTACACCTACACTATTAACTTGCTGCATTTTACAATTGTATCACTTTCACTTGTGTTTATTGCACTATTTTACTTATCTATTTCTTTGTCTAAAGTATTTAGTGTTTTGCATTATTGGAGGGAATTAAGATTTTCATTACCAACAAATACAACTACTAATACTCTAGCTATTGTGTACATGACAGTAAAACTATCGAATCGTGAAATCAATATTTATGAGTTTTAAAAATATATCTGATGCTGACATATCTGCTGATGGGATTTATAGCATATTAATGCATAACAAATACAGTGTGATCAGCCGTACAGTCGACAGTTCAAACCTGTGTGTGTGTCAGTGCTCTTTGGTGGAAAAACACTGTTCCTAATACGTCAGACCTTAATGTGGCATTTTTGTAACACTTTAATGTCTGCAAAAGATAATACCAGCCTTGCAGATGTATCTAGACTCCCTCTAGTTGAGATACAGATCTGTCTTTAAAAAAATAATGTTGGAGATCTATTTCGGTTTAGTATTTGTTCTTTCAAAGTGGAGTTATTGGTTGTTTCTTTTTTTGGTTTTAGTTATTTTGCATAAGAACAATCTGCCTTGAGAAGGACACACGTTTGTATCAGTGTAGAGTTTTAGTTTACTGTAGATATACAGCAGACATCATTTTCACATCAGCCTCATAACCAAGTGTTATTCATGAGAGCCTTTTAGAGGGCTGCAGCGTATCAATATTTTCATTCAATCATCAGCTCATCTGATGATCAGTATTTTAGTTTAGTTTTCCCTATAATAACCCATCACAGTCCATCAAACCCCAAGTTGATGTATTTTTATGTAAGTCCAAACCCCAAAGACATGTTACTGAAAATAACTTAAACAGAGGATAGCGGGCGTTATGGACATTTGAGAGGTTGAAAACAGCTTAATCAACAGTCATATTATTATTATACTTCTATTGTTATTATTGGACATAAAATAGCTCTAGTGTTTTGTACCTGAAAGTCTGGGTTGGGGCCGAGGTTGAGGTCGTATCCGTAGCGACCGATGGTCATGAGTCCTAAGAAGTCCAGAGCGGCGCAGTGGGACAGGATGTGCTGCACCGTGCTCACCGTGTCCTCGGGGGGGAGCCCGTGTTTATCTGCAGGGACATGGGACACACCGTTAGCAAACATGGATCACTCCCCATAGGGACGCTGCTCAGGAACCGGGCGGTCAACGGTTTGAGTCCCGGTACGGACAATAAATATACAAAATGTGGTGTGCACCTGGAGAGGTGAGTTTGACTCCTGGGCACTGCCGAGGTGTCCTTAAGCAAGGCACTGAAACCCAACCATGACATCCTCTTTGCTCTGACACCAAAATAACTTTTAGGTGTGACAGAACTGAATTAATACTACACAGAATCTAATGTGGTTAAAAGATAGAAACCACTACAGTATATATTATTTATTTTATAAAAACAAATGATCCCTATGATCTCTCTGATGTTTAGTTTAAATGTAAACACAATCCTAAGAGAGATAAGCAATTGGTGAGGATTACAATCTGCGAACTTTGAGAATTCCCAACTAAAAAGTATCCGGAGTGAGACTTTGCAAGGTCCCATCATCATTTTTCCAGTAATTCTATCATATGCTGGGGGGTCTTGATATTTCAATAAGAAAGGCTTGAAGACATTAACATTGTGCAGGGACTAGGGGTGTAACGGTATCCGTATTCGTCCCGAACCGTCACGGTTCGGGACGAATACGGATACAGATACATCATCCTCCCGCTTGGACTACTGCAATGGTGTCCTGTTTGGGGTTCCCAACAAAACCCTGGACAGGCTCCAGTATGTTCCAAACGGTGCTGCTAGGGTACTCACAAATACAAAGCCGTGGCAGCACATCACTCCCACCCTCATCCACCTCCACTGGTTGCCGGTCTAGTCCCGCATATCATACAAAATCCTCCTCCTTACCTACAAGTCCCTCCATGCCCATGCCCCCCAGTACCTATCAGACATCCTTCACCCACATGCCCCACCCCGGAACCTGCGGTCTTCAGACTCTGGCCTGCTTACCACCCCCCGCACCAAACTGCGAACCTTCGGGGACAGAGCCTTCAGTGTGGCAGCCCCCACCCTCTGGAACGCTCTCCCTGCGGAGATCCGCAACATCCCCACACTCGACGCCTTCAAAAAGGCCCTCAAGACCCATCTGTTTACTAAGGCCTTTGGCCTCTAAATCTATCTGTTGTTTTGTCTGTCTGACTGGTTGTCTGACTGCCTTTTGTTTTGTTATGTTTGTTTCTGTCCTATTCTTCTTTGTTAAGCGACCTTGGGTCCCATGAAAGGCGCTATATAAATCCAAGCTATTATTATTATTATTATCACGGTTCGGACGTCACGGTTCGGCACATGCAGTCACACGACGGATACGCCTTTTTTATGAAGGGAAAAAAGTCTGTCACTCAGGGCAGTATCCATTACACTATATATAATCCAGGGGGCGGTATTGCGCCTAAAAGCTGTTTGCCTGCCGCCCTTAAACAACAAATGAAGAACAAGAAGAAAACACAACAAACCGAACAAAATACAAGAAGAAGAAAAGTTAGTATGACGATTTCAGATAACACACAGGAGCTAGAAGACCCACCTGCTTCTTTTAAATCAGCTGTGTGGGAACATTTCAGGTTCCCTGTGGACTACAATAACGATGGAGTGCGAGTGGTGGATCGGACGAGGACGGTGTGTCGGCGTTGTTCGACAGCGGTGCGGTATGCTAATGGTAACACACGCCAAACATGCTAAATCATATCAGAAGGCTTCACCCAGATTTGCCAATCACCGGAGCCCGGCAAAAGACAACAGCAGTTCAACAGCTTCTCCCCGCTGTTTTTAAGAAGCCAATAGACATGAAAGCCGAGAGACCAAAAGAAATAATGGAAGCTATTGGCATATATATTTCAACGGCTATGCGCCCTGGAAACACTTTCTTATTATTTATTTTGTAATATTTTCAAGACATTCTTTTTAGTATTACAGCTTGATGAAACCTTTTTGTTTGACATCAGCCATTATAGATAATATGGCCATCTGAGTGTGTGTGGTACTGTTTGTGGTTTGTTTTTAACTGTGTAATACAGTTAATTATTCAAAATGTTAGAGTTCCTTATTTTTATACTGAAACTTGCACTACTGTTCAAAAATAAAAAACAACAAACATGGAATTATGCATTTGGGACTTATTTTTGCTTTTTCTTGTTGTACCGAACCCATACCGAACCGTGACCCCTAGGGGTGTAACGGTTCACAAACATTTCGGTTCGGTACGTACCTCGGTTTTTAGCTCACGGTTCGGTACGTTTTCGGTACAGCAGAAAAAATTATCACAAAACATAAAATATTTTTTGGGGGGTTTTAATTATTATTAAACTGTGAATAATGTAGTCACTCAAATAAATATAAAAAATATAATACAATAAACATTAAGGTGCAGCATTTTGATGAACTGAAATAGTCTGCATTTGAACTTTACTGTACTAGTACTCACAAAACATAACATATTAGTTATGGGTTTTTAATTATTATTAAACTGAATATTCACTCAAATAAATACAAAATATAATAAAATAAACATTAAGGTGCAGCATTTCGATGAACTGAAATAATCTGTATTTGAACTGTACTGTACTAGTACCTTAGCAGCCAGATTGACATTAGGACTTGCTTGCTTGTCATTGTATTTTCATGTTTTTTTTAAGAAAAATTAACTTGTCCACATTGCTTGCCAAAAGGGCAGATCTGCTGGCACTAACAATGTCTCCTGCTGTGGAGAACACCCTCTCGCTAGGGACAGAGGTAGCAGATACAGCCAGGTAGCGCTTTGCTAACATGGCAACATAAGGATATTTGGCGTTTGTAATAGCTTTGGCTCGGTCTGAACTTTTTGCGAGTGGTGGAGGCTTAAATGCTAGTGGGAGTTGGGTTTGCACTTCAGTCATTTTTCTTTTGGTACCTGTGATATTCACGTTCGGGTGATGCCTTTTCAAATGAGTGTGCAAGTTTGATGTATTGCCAGCCGCGTAACCAATTTTAGTTGAACAATGCCAACAAACAGCTTTGGTTCTGTCCACCTGTCTTTGTCCGTCATCCTTGTACGTAACTGCGAAACCAAAATGTTCCCACACCGGAGACTTCAATGATGCTGGAGGATTTTCGAGCTCAACTTTATCTGCGTTCGCCAGTTCCTCAAATGACTGACTACATTTGAACGCATCCCTGTGACCAGCTCTCATAGTATGCCTCTCGTCCAATGAAATGACTTGGTCGCTCTATGACGCGTTGAACCCAATGTGAGCAAATTACACTTCCAAAAAGTTGTTCACGTTCTCAATTTTTTACGTTTAACGTTATATTCGTTCAGTACACTTCGGTACACACGTGTACCGAACCGAAGGGCCCATACCGAATATTTTCGGTACGAATACGTATACCGTTACACCCCTAGTGACCCCCAAACCGAGGTACGTACCGAACTGTTAATTCTGTGAACCGTTACACCCCTAGCAGGGACTCTTCTGAGCGATGCAGCCCCTCTGCTCTGACACCTCTCTATAAAATGCATGTGTTTGTGCATGTGTGTATTTCAGGCCTAGTGTGTATTTGAACTGTAAATCCCAGGGGTCAGTAACCTTTAATATCAAATACAATTTGTCTGGACCCGCAAAACATATTTGATAACACAGCTTTTAAAGAAGTTATACTATATAAAAAAACTATAGTTTGTTGCATCTATTTCTACATGTTATAACATAATTTCACCTTGTGGGACTACTAAAGTAGGTCTTATTTTTCTTTTTCTTTTTCAGTATATTTGAGCAGAACAAAGTGCTGAATTTGAGACGTACTCTGTTCTCCGCTGGTGTTGAGCTGCACCATGACCTTTAACCTCTGGGTGCTGGCTCCTCTGAGGCGCTGCCAGGAGCTGTTCACCCGGTCCGCCAGCTTGGCAGAGTCCACCGTCTCCACCACGAACAGGTTGGGCACGCCTGGATAACAAAACACACACTCAGTGAACGCTGTCAACACACAGAGGGGCGGGGGCGGGGGCGGCACTCACCCAGGAGTTTGTTCACATTGTTCTTCTGCAGATGGCCGATGAAGTGCCACCTGATTTCTGGACATGAGGCCAAAATCTTGAAAAGAAAAAGAAACACTGTTTGAATATGTGGAAAAGGTAGATACTACCTTTTAATTTAAATATATCAAATTACCAGAGGATCAGAAGCTTTGTCCACGAGTTCATTAACCTGGAGAGGAGATAAAGGAAGAAGATGATGATGATAAACAGCCTCAAATGGTATCATACAGAGATAGAAATACTGCCAGTGAAAGGAAAACATAAAATTGTGAAGGAGTGATATAACAATTGTTATTTTAACATAAAAAGGGTAATTTAAATAATCTTCTACAGTCAAAACATCTTTACCAGTAGGTTTCCTGGCTCTTAATTTTTTATAGAAGACCAAATAACTTATATGATGTGTGAGGACTATGTTAAAGCTACACAGAATCAAAGTGTACATAAGATATAAAAAACATATCAGACAAATTTCAACACAATCCAATGAAAAATAAGCGAGACAAATAGTCTGCAATGGGACTTTGCAAGGTCCCATCAATTTAATGGACATTTCCCCATAATGTTCCCATTACATCTATGATATGCTGGGGGGGTCTTAATGAAAGGAAGGCCCCTTCATGATTATGCAGGCACACTTTGGACTGATGCAGACCTGCAGCATTTATACTCACATAGTTTTCTCCAAAGTTCCGATGCCCTTGTCTGTAGGCCTCCACAACCATCTCTGGAGGTTTGGTCTTGCTGACGGCGACGAGGCGGGGCGGCACGGCTGGGAGAGTCTGAGGGAGGACAGAACACCATCAGATCTCAGTGATGTGACTCAGCCTGAGAGGTCCTGCTAGACCACCATGAAGCTCGCTGTTTCTGGCTACTTTGTTCCCCTTAAGGAAGACATTCTTAGTAGAAAATCACTCATGGTGTCCCCTTTAATCAAATATCTGTTCAACCGAGTTACTTCAGAAAGAATCATGCAAAATATATAAATGTTGTTCAAATCAACTGTAAGTCTTGTGTTTATCAAAATTGTGCTCAAAAGTAGCTTTAAAATAAAAACATTCAGCATTAACAAAGCTTAAAAGATCGACTAATCGACTAAGGAAATCTAAGTAAAGTAAGACCAAAATGAGCAATTAGTCCACTGATCGACTAAGAAGGGCATGTCATTCATTCAGCTCTTCTTATAATTAAGATGATTAGTACCTAAAAACAAAAGAGACCTCAGGATGTTTGATTGTATGATCCTTAAATGCTTTAATGTAATCACCAACATACCCCCCACCCCCCACTGTCACAGAGCTGTGGAGTGAGGATGATACACAGCGTGCTCGTGTTTACTAAATAGCCCAAAGATATGACAAATGGCATCCAGAACCCGGACAGCAGGCCTCCACTGTGCAGCCCCGTGCAGAGCGGATCCTGTTCCCCCGCCTGTAATACCCATGCATTGGGGTTATGGAAGTGCTGCCACCAGCCCCACTAACTCCCGGCCAGAGGTTGAGGTGTTAGGCAGCCTTACATAACGGGTCGTGCCGCCGCAGCACGACGTTCTCGGTCCTCTCTGGAGCACCGCTGCCGGAGCTCCAGAGAGGAGCCTCCCGGGTAGCAGTTACCTTGGGCCGCCGTGCCGCCGCCTGGTTCACCCGCTCCACCACCGACTGTAGCGCCTTCCCAACCTCCTCCGACATTGCTACTTTCCACATACGGGCGAGCGACGACGACATACAACGTAGAGAGACGAGTCTGCGATGACGACAATCGCCTTTCAAAATAAAAGTCCACCTGAGTAGGGAGCGTGTCCTTCAGAGAGCGCCCCCTGCTGCCAGGCTTCAGCCCGGCAGTCTAACTAAAGGAGAGGGGCTCCAGATGAGAGATGAACAGCACGAGGCATTTGCTTATGGAATGCCGTTTTAAGCCAAAATTAAATAAATACATAAATAATTAAATAAATACATATATATATAAATATGCCTATGAAATAAATAAATAAGGTTATCAAATACAATCTGAATGAAATAAACAAGGCAATAAATATATATAAATGTACATTTAAATACACATTTATTTATTTCATGGGACTTTTATTTCATAATGCCACATTTATTTATTTCAAGAGACTTTTATTTCATAATGCCACATTTATTTATTTCAAGAGACTTTTATTTCATAATGCCACATTTATTTATTTCAGGGGACTTGTATTTCATAATGCCACATTTATTTATTTCAGGGGACTTGTATTTCATAATGCTACATTTATTTATTTCAGGGGACTTGTATTTCATAATGCCACATTACATTTCCATTTCTAATATTCAAATGAACGGGGCGTGGTTAGCTCACAGATCCAGACCAAAGCAACAGCACCACAACACTGACTCAATAGCTCTTGTTTCACACTCCAGTACTCTTAAGTGGTTTGACAGCCAAACCGGTTCCGGTTCGGGGGGGGGGTGCTAGTGGATCGCCGGAGGAGTGAGCAGAGGGTAGAATTGTCGATTCAGTTGCGCGCGCTACGCTACCATGGAAACCAAACAATGGTGTAGCTGTATTAAAGTCCGGGTGGAAACAGTCCTGAGTAAATCTGATTTTGTCAGAAATCGGGAGAAATGCGGGAGAAATATGACCCCGGGAGGAAACCGGGAGAGGGCAATGAAATCGGGAGTCTCCCGCGAAAATCGGGAGGGTTGGCAAGTATGCACCAAACCGGTTCCAGAGCCAGTTCCAGGATACAGCCTGATTTAGCTCTGGTTTTTCACTGTTTCAGCCACAGCGGAGCCGGCTCTAAACACCGAAAACCGGTTCTTAGCTGACCCCACTTGGCTGCCCGGCAAGAATCAAGAACCACGCTCACGTCGTAGGGAGGCGAGATTAACTTGAGCAATAACAGTTTATGGCGAATAGCCTACGGCAAATGAAAGTTGTAACAAGCAGTAGCGCTGAGCAAAGTGACTAGAACGCAACCACACACTTGTCTGATTCTGTTTATCTGTACCTTACTTTGACCATCTGTTCGCTGTTATTGATCATTGTGGAGAGCAGGCAGACGTTTTGTTTTGTATTATAGCAGCTATCGGATGGAATCAATACATGGGCTGCACAGGTTGCCATGTCCGACTATCACAAGTAGAATCATAATGAAAAATATGCTGGTAAAATGTTCCTGTAGAAAACGGCTTATGCCACAATAGGATAGCAACAAGTAGTCAAGATAGTCAGATTAGCTTCGGTTGCTATCAGAGGCGCGGGAAGTTATTTTGAGTGGGGGTGCTGAGCTGTCCGATGTGCTAATTACGCACGGGGGGGGTTGACGTTGACATACACCGAGCAAAACCACACACACAGTGCATAACAACGGACTCCAGTGCACGCTATTACGGCACTAACCCTAACCCTAAAGCGCGAGCACACACACACACACTATTAAGATGTAAAATATTATTTTAACAATGTGGAATTTACATTCATTGAATTAGGCTATCAAGGCATTGCTAATTCCTGGCTACATATTACACAGATTCTGCGTAATAATGCCCTGCCCCTGCATCTTCTATTTCAATCTTTTTAGCAGATTTAGCGCACACTCTATCTTACTCTCACGTACTTTACTTGTAATGTTCCACAAGATACAATGCAACATCCTAGTTGTGCTAACTTCTGGACTGATGCTCATGCCTGGTCCCTCGGCTCCTGTCGTCCCCCCCGGGCCAGCTGTGCATCAACAAATAATGTCCCCCTGGCAAACGTATATTGCAACATGTTCCCATATTTTTTCCCAACATATTTTTTTATATATATAAGTAACTGTCCACAAACTGCCAATACTTAACAAGAATAACACAAACAACAATATTACACAAATGACTAGTAGTCACACATTTGAACAACATTTAGTATCTTAATGTCTTTTCCTGTATCCATATTATCTTGTTCTTTATATACCTATTCACTAGTATTGAGTAAGTATAACTGTCAGTCAAAGTCCTTCAGATGCACCGGCCTTCTGACAGGCCTGCCTGACCTCGTGCACGGAGTGCGGGGCATCCCGTCCGGCCCCGTTTCTGCCTCTGCGCTGCTGCTCTCGTCCTGTGTTGGTTCAGGCTCACCATTCAGCTCAGCATAAGCTCCTTCCCCTGCTGTGATGTCCTCATCTAGCTCCTTAGTCATCCTGATATGCTACATGCTGCAGTCCGTACCTTGCAGTGGAGTGTTCCTGTGATCCAGCGTGGCTAAATAGGGGTCGCTGCCTGCCCGTTTAGTTTTAGCCATCAGCCTTTTGGCTGTTTTAACAGCCGATTCCACTTTCCCATTGCTTTGCGGGTATCCTGGAGAGGACGTTTTGTGTCTGAAGTCCCATGACCTGCTGAAATTCCTGAACTCCTCCGATGTGTATTGAGGACCATTGTCTGAGAACACCACATCTGGAATTCCATATCTGGCAAAGTGAGCTTTTAGTTTCCGAATCATTGTTTTAGATTTTGTATTCTCCAGACCAGGGGTTTTCAAAATGTGTTATGTTCTCCCCTCAGAGAACATAAGAACAGCCGCGCCCCCCTCCCAATTATTATTGCTATTATTATTATTATTATTATTATTATTGTTGTTGTTGCTATAATGCAGGGGTATTCATTTGCATTTCAAAGAGTTCCAGTAAGAGAAAATGTCATTAAATGCTCTGTTTTCTCTGTCTACCTTTCTTTGTTTTTGAACACGCCATTTGAAATGACTCCGACTGTTTCTCTCTTCTTGTCTCTTCTCTGTGTGTGTGTTTGAATCTATCATGCTGACTCACTGACTGCACCGATTTGATTGGCTGAGTAGCGTCACCTCCTTAAAACATTAAACAATAACTTTTTTAAACCTTTTGATCTTTATGTTTTAAACATTTTTGTAAAACATTTTTAACATTTTCAACATCGTGGATAAATCCTTATATGCTCCCGGCAACAAACTGAACGCCAACTTTTCCTCCTTTTTACACTCACCCCTACTTTAGTGGGAACGATGAGTCTGCATCTTTGATGCGCACAGGCGGATGATGGGGGGATCAGAGTCCTGCATCGGGTCGGGTACTCGAGGCGTGACCCGCAAAAAAAGTGATTCGCGGGTGGTAAGTAGTAGTACTGATACTGTTTCAATTACATTAGTATGCATAAAAAGTGACAGGTCACATCCCCCACTAATTATGCTAATGACCCCCTTTGATATGCTAATGACCCCTTTGTTCGAGGTGTTATCGCGTGTAGGTGTGATATCACAGTTAGGTGTGATATCCTTTGATGTGAGGGGTGAGGTGTTATCACGTGTAGGTGTGATATTCCCCCCTGTAGCAGATCCTTTGTTGTCTAATCTAATTAGCCTTTGATGTCTGCCCTTTGTTGTCTAATCTAATTACCCTTTGATGTCTGTCCTTTGATGTGAGGGTTGAGGTGTTATCACGTGTAGGTGTGATATTCCCCCCTGTAGTAGACTATTTTGTTGTCTAATCTACTTACCCTTTGATGTCTGTCCTTTGATGTAAGGGGGGTGAGGTGTTATAACATGCCGGTGTGATATCACACCGGCATGTTATAAGCCTTTGATGTCAATCTAATTCCCCTTTGATGTCTGTCCTTTGATCAGTGTTTGTAACTAGTGTTAATTAAGGCAGTCTCTTTGAAGTTGTGTGAGACTGTCTCGCACCCCGTCCCCCTTGCACCCCGTCCCCCTCTCACCCCTTCCTGTCACCCCGTCCCCTCCTTTTGCTAAATAAAAAGCCACTCATTTACACTCACCAAGTCACCTAAAACTTTCAAAAAGAAAATGGCAAAGAGACGCATCAATATGGGTTTAATCAGCGAGACGCCTGTGACAACTTACCGCCATCCGTCGGGAGCGCCAGTCAAGAAACGGATGCAGTATCTGTGCCGGGTTCAGACCCTCCGTCAGAGGCTCTTCATGAAAATGGAGTCTGGATGTGTGACACTGTCTCCCCCCGTCCCCCTCACACCCCTTCCTCTCACACCCCTTCCTCTCCCCCTTCCTGTCACCTCCTGATTTTGCTATCAGCCATTAATTTTCACTCACTAAGTCACCTAAAACTTTTATTGTCCTCTCTAAATTAGATTAGTTTTGAATATGATTTGTGTTAACTAAGGATGTTCTCTTACGTTGTATGGCTTGTGAACTAATGTTTAATTACTTTACTAACTACAAGGGACTCTCTTTTTTGAAAAGAGGGTAATAATAATTTAAAAAAGATGTTAATGACCCCCTGATATTGTATTTGTAATGTTTAATTACTTCACACAACTTTAAAAGCCCCTATGAAGTTGTTGTTAAGTATGTATGGCTTGTGAACTGGATGTTCTCTTAAGTTGTATGGCTTGTGAACTAATGTTTAATTACTTTATTAACTACAAGGAAGTCTCTTTGAAGAGGGTAATAATAATTTAAAGATCCTAATGCCCCCTTGATCTTGTCTTTTTTATTGTTTAATTACTGTATTAACTATAAGGAAGATGTACTGGTGTGTTTCCCTAGATGATGTAAATAGTGCCATGTTAGGGGGACATCACGGAGCTCAGGAGTCCGCCCTTGGAGGCTTGGAGAGCGGACAAAGAGAGGTGTATTTACCGGTGTTGAGCCCTGGATGATGTAAATAGTCCAAGTGCCATGTTAGAGGGACATTACGGAACTCAGGAGTCTGCCCTTTGAGGCTTTTGTTAACATTAATGCTTTTTGCTTTTGTTTTTGTTACTAAGATACTTTTTAGATACACTTTTGAAGTGA